GCTAATGAGCTTCATGGATGCTTTCAAGGGGTATCATCAAATTATGATGCACCATGAAGACGAGAGCAAGACAGCCTTCGTAACCCCGGACGGGCTGTATTGCTACCGAGTGATGTCGTTCGGCCTCCGGAACGCGGGAGCGACCTATCAGAGGATGGTCAATATGCTCTTTGCCGATCTATTGGGCCGAACGATGGAAGCCTACATTGATGATATGCTGGTCAAGAGTAGGGACCGATCCGACCACACTCGGGACCTTCGGGAGTGCTTCCAGATCATGAGGAAGTACCAGTTGCGGCTGAACCCGACCAAATGCACATTCGCGGTTCAGACCGGCAAGTTCCTCGGCTATATGATGACCAAGAGAGGAATTGAGTCTAACCCGGCCAAAGTAAAAGCGATTCTGGACATGCAACCAACTTCCACCGTTCGAGAAGTCCAGCAGTTGACCGGTCGGTTGGCAGCCCTCAGCCGATTCCTCTCCAAGTTAGCCGAGCGTGCTCTACCTTTCTTCAAGGTATTGCGAAAAGTTAATGGATTCGTCTGGGACGAAGAGTGCCGAGCGGCTTTTGACGAGCTGAAGGAGTATCTCATGTCTCCGATCGTACTCTCAAAGCCCGAGCTCGGAGAAGAGCTAGACGTGTACCTCGCCGTCTCCGATCGTGCAGTAAGCGCAGTGTTGTGCCGAACCGATCCGGAAGGGATCCAGCGACCGGTGTACTATGTAAGCCACGCGCTACATGGCCCCGAGCTCCGGTACTCCCGGCTAGAGAAGGTCGTCTATGCCTTATACATTGCCGCGAAGAAGTTGGCTCCCTATTTCCAAGGTCAAGCAATTCGCGTGTTGACCGATCAGCCGATCGGGCCGGTCCTCCGAACTGCTTCATCATCCGGTCGCCTAGTCAAGTGGGCGTTAATGCTGACCAGTATGCGATCGAATACCGACCGAGACCAGCAATTAAAGGTCAGGCTCTTGCTGACTTCTTGGTCGAGTGCACCGCCCGGGATACCCGACCTCCCGAGGTTGCGGATCCGGAGGCTGAGTGGTGGTCGTTGGCTACTGATGGGTCAAGTAGCAAGAAAGGGGCAGGAGGAGGAGTAGTGGTCACGAGCCCAGAAGGATTCAAAGTCTATTTCGCTCTAATGTATCAGTTCCACCCGACCAACAACGAAGCCGAGTATGAAGCCTTTGTCAATGGCTTACAGTGCGCTCGGGATTTGGGGGCTGAGTACATCCGAGCTCAAACAGATTCCGCGCTCGTGGTCGGACAGGTTCTCGGGGACTATGAAGTCAATGGAGAGCGTCTACAATTGTACCGAGACCTTGCCATGGAGAAGCTTGCTCAGTTCCGGGGGTATACCGTCCGACATATACCCCGATTGGATAATGCCGACGCAGATATCTTATCTAAATTGGCTCAGGACGCCCCGGAACACATGTCGAAGATAGCTCGGATTTTGGTGATCCCGAGACACAGCATCCATCGTCTACCGGTCAATCCAATCCAACCGGCAGAAGACAATTGGATCACCGATCTGAAGGAGTTCCTCGAGCACGGTCGACTTCCAGACGACCCCCAGCGTGCTCGAAAAGCCAAGCTGAGAGCCCCGAGGTTCCATGTTTTGGACGGCCGTCTTTATAGGCGATCGTATGGAGGCCCTCTCATGCGTTGCTTGACCGCATTTGAGGCCGATTTAGTCATGAAGGAACTTCACTCGAGAATTTGCTCCTCACATCAAGGAGGCCGATCCTTGGCTCGTCGTATCATGCTAATCAGGTACTACTGGCCGTCCCTCCAGCTAGACTGTGAAAAGTTAGCTCGGGAATGTGAGACGTGCCAACTGTTCGCCCGGATGCCTGGACGACCGGCAACCTTCTACCAGCCAGTCACGACCGCCATTCCTTTCGCTAGGTGGGGGGTGGACATCTTGGGCCCTTTCCCTCAGCTTTCCGGTCGGAGAAGGTTCGTGATCGTCACCATTGATTATTTTTCCAAGTGGATAGAAGCCGAGCCCTTAGCCACGATCACCTCTCAGCAATGTGCTCGTTTTCTGTGGCGCAATGTAGTTTCCCGCTTTGGCGTGCCCGTACATCTCATCAGCGATAATGGCCGCCAATTCGTAAGCCAGTACTTCCAGAACTTTTTGGCCACGATCGGAACGACTCACGTCCGGTCGTCGGTGGCTTACCCGCAGGGAAACGGTCAAGTGGAAAACGCGAACCGGACGATTTTGGAAGGTCTGAAAAAGAAGTTACACTCGGCCGGTCGTAGTTGGGCCGATGAGTTGCCATATGTCCTATTGACTTATCGGACGACCCCGAGGGAAGCTACTTTGGAGACCCCTTTTGCCCTGGTTTATGGAGCGGAAGCCCGACTCCCGATCGAGGCTTGGATCCCGACCGATCGAGAGAGAACCTTCAACGCGGAGGAAAATGAACATGCGATGGCCGTGGATCTCGATGCGGTCGAGGAAAAAAGAGAGCTAGCCGCTCGGCGTATGGCCGAGTACCAAAAGCGTGTTAAGAGTTCGAAAGACGTTCGGGTCAACCCTCGTTACTTCCAAGTTGGAGACTATGTTTTACGACGAAGGGAGGCCAGTCAACCTTTAGAGGGCGGAAAGCTAGCTCAGAATTAGGAAGGGCCGTACATCATCAGTGCAATCATACGGCCGGGTACATACCGACTGGAAACAACCACCGGTCGGGTAATCGAGGGAACTTGGAACTCCGAGCACCTCGTTATGTTTAGGCATTAAGCCTATTTTTGTAACCTTTGGACGAAGTGGGGGCTTGACCTGCGTGTAGGTCCCAATCGTCGTTTGTAATTAAATTCCTATGTTTTGTAAATATTTACTAAACCGCCTGCGAGCGGGAGGTTTTAATGTATATACGATCGGTGATTGCGCGACCGCTTGCATGCGGCGACCCGGTCGGTTATTTTCTTTACCTTCAGTGCATGCAGATTATTTCATCTTCAAGCTATATCGATTGGCCGAATTTATTGACCGGTCAAATGCGCTCCATATCGGCGGACATGCGAGTCACGCCACTGATCGGGGAAGCCAAGAGCACACAGCATAATTCCCCGATCTAATCAACTCCTGTCCACTATTGCACTCACTCGTGCCTCGAGAGCACAATAGTGTGGGGGCTGGGATAAGGGAGTGTCTGTAGGCCCATCACTCGGGAGAACTCGATTGTCGGCCAATACGACGTTGACTTAAGTCCGTTATTCGGAGATATCCCAAACATAGAGGCTTGGTTAATCTCAAGATTTCTGACAAGGCCTAGAGATCGGCTAAACCAGATCCGGTTGGCCAGTGGGACGTCGAAATCTCGAACGCACGACCGGGCCATAAGGTCGTAAGGTCGGGCGTCGAGCGGGTCGAGTAATGCAGGACCGAGCCAAAAGGCCATGAGGTCGAGTATTGAGGTTCGGCCTGTGCATGAACAAAAAGAAAAAAAAAACAGAAAGAAGGACGAGCGACGCAAGTTTAATAAAAGATGATTTTCATTGATTGAAAAGAAGTGCCCGGTACAAATTCGGGACCGGGCTCCCGATCAGCGTTCCTTTACAAAAAAGAAGAAGCCTATTCTACTTCTTTTCCTGAGCTCCAGCAGCCGTTTCCTTCCCGCTCGGGGTGGCCGCAGACGATCCACCGGGCTCGGCCGCTCTTTCTTTCGGAGCGAAGGGAGAGGGACCGGGGTCAGCTAGGTCGGGAGGAAGGGCAGACAGTACGAGCTGGAGGTCGTCTCCTTCGAGGGCTTCCCCCAACCGTTTCTGGGCCTTTTCCAACATCTTCCTTTGGCCGGCCTTGAAGGCCCACCAACCAAAGGAGAGAATCAAGTCCTCCCCGACCTTGGTCCGCCGATCAGCTGTGAGGAAGGCCGAACCTGTCTGGTCGTCCTTGAAAGCCGAGTGCGCCAGCGCTTCCGGACTCTCCAAGCGGGTCTTCAGCTCCTTGTTCTCACCGATCGCCCGCTGGGCGACCTTCTCCGCTAGGACCCGCTCCTCCTCACTCTTCTTCAGGGCCTTCTGGACTTTCTCCAGTTCGGCCTGAACATCCTTCACCTCCTGAAGGCGCCGGGCGGCCATCTTCTTGTGACGGTCGGCTTCCTCGGCCAGCATTGCCCGACCTTGTAGAAGCTGGGCCGCACGGAAAATCTGCAATGCAAAAAGATATTCAAGATTAGCCCGAACGAAGGCACTTGTATAAAAGACGAAGCAGTGGGAGAAAGCTTACCTCGGCCAGGTCGTCAATCCTCTCGGCCACTTGGGTCGGGGTCATCTTCCCCAGATCCTCCCTGGCTGGCCCGGCGTTGCCGATCCGGGCCAGTATGGACATATTGTCCTTCTCTCGCCCGACCAAGGGGCTCGGGCTGCGTTGTTCCCGGCGGCGCTTAATACCGCCCACCTCGGCCACGCCTCGATCGGTGACCTTCTCCTTGCCTCGGGCAACTTCTACCCGGGATAAAGGAGATCCCCTCGGCCCGACCACTGAGTGCCTCGACTGTGACGACGGGCGAGGGCTTCATCGTCGAGCCGTCTGATGTCCGGGATAAGGGAGTGTCTGTAGGCCCATCACTCGAGAGAACTCGATTGTCGGCCAATACGACGTTGACTTAAGTCCGTTATTCAGAGATATCCCGAACATAGAGGCTTGGTTAATCTCAAGATTTCTGACAAGGCCTGGAGATCGGCTAAACCAGATCCGGTTGGCCAGTGGGACGTCGAAATCTCGAACGCACGACCGGGCCATAAGGTCGTAAGGTCGGGCGTCGAGCGGGTCGAGTAATGCAGGACCGGGCCAAAAGGCCATGAGGTCGAGTATTGAGGTTCGGCCTGTGCATGAACAAAAAGAAAAAAAAAAACAGAAAGAAGGACGAGCGACGCAAGTTTAATAAAAGATGATTTTTATTGATTGAAAAGAAGTGCCCGGTACAAATTCGGGATCGGGCTCCCGATCAGCGTTCCTTTACAAAAAAGAAGAAGCCTATTCTACTTCTTTTCCTGAGCTCCAGCAGCCGTTTCCTTCCCGCTCGGGGTGGCCGCAGACGATCCACCGGGCTCGGCCGCTCTTTCTTTCGGAGCGAAGGGAGAGGGACCGGGGTCAGCTAGGTCGGGAGGAAGGGCAGACAGTACGAGCTGGAGGTCGTCTCCTTCGAGGGCTTCCCCCAACCGTTTCTGGGCCTTTTCCAACATCTTCCTTTGGCCGGCCTTGAAGGCCCACCGACCAAAGGAGAGAATCAAGTCCTCCCCGACCTTGGTCCGCCGAGCAGCTGTGAGGAAGGCCGAACCTGTCTGGTCGTCCTTGAAAGCCGAGTGCGCCAGCGCTTCCGGACTCTCCAAGCGGGTCTTCAGCTCCTTGTTCTCACCGATCGCCCGCTGGGCGACCTTCTCCGCTAGGACCCGCTCCTCCTCACTCTTCTTCAGGGCCTTCTGGACTTTCTCCAGTTCGGCCTGAACATCCTTCACCTCCTGAAGGCGCCGGGCGGCCATCTTCTTGTGACGGTCGGCTTCCTCGGCCAGCATTGCCCGACCTTGTAGAAGCTGGGCCGCACGGGAAATCTGCAATGCAAAAAGATATTCAAGATTAGCCCGAACGAAGGCACTTGTATAAAAGACGAAGCAGTGGGAGAAAGCTTACCTCGGCCAGGTCGTGGCCAATCCTCTCGGCCACTTGGGTCGGGGTCATCTTCCCCAGATCCTCCCTGGCTGGCCCGGCGTTGCCGATCCGGGCCAGTATGGACATATTGTCCTTCTCTCGCCCGACCGAGGGGCTCGGGCTGCGTTGTTCTCGGCGGCGCTTAATACAGCCCACCTCGGCCACGCCTCGATCGGTGACCTTCTCCTTGCCTCGGGCAACTTCTACCCGGGTGACCAGGACATCAGACGGCTCGACGATGAAGCCCTCGCCCGTCGTCACAGTCGAGGCACTCAGTGGTCGGGCCGAGGGGATCTCCTTTTCCCCAGCTGGCTTCGCCTTTGTTTTCTTCTTACCGCCAAGGGAGATCTTGGCGGGCGGGGGAAGGGAAGCATCCTCATCACCGAACTCTGCCATAGCTGCAAATAAAGAAACCAAGTTAGTTTGATCAAGATATAAAGCTAGGTCGGGAGGAGTAGCTCGAGTTAAACCTTTCTTCCTTCGTCTCGACGGTTTGGCGACCGTCACGCCCATCGGCACGGGCAGATATTTCTCCCTTAGCTCGTACGTGGGGGCGGGAGCTTGGCCGCTTCAAGACTTTCGGCCGTCCGGAAGATTGTGTACTCGTGTAGCTCGCTCGAGATCCGAGCGACCGTCTCCTTGAGCGCCTGAGTCTCGTCCGGCACCACTTGTTTTCGGAAGTGGGTGCTCCAAGCGCGGTCGACCGGGAGGATCCAGGGGTCGTATTTGATGGAGAAAATTCTATTCTTCCACCCCTTGTTGTTCCCGGGCAGGCCTCTGATTGCGCACATGTCGGCTCGGGATTGCAGCATCAAGAACCCGCCCCCGTAGCTGCCCGGGAGAACTTTGACCTGGTAGATGTAGTTGAACAACTCCATCGTACAGGCGGCCTCATGCCGAGCGCATATCTGAGGGAAGCAGGCGATGATCCGGTGTGAGTTGGGGCAGATCTGGGCCGGGACGACCCGGTAGTAGGCTAAGAAGGCGTTCAGGAGGGGGGGGGGGGGGGAAGGGAATAGCGATCGGGGCCATCAGGGAGTCGTAATGCATCCCGATCCATTTGCCCTGGTGTCGGTCGATCACGTTCCCTAGCTTTCGGCTCGTGTCAAATTCCACCCGACCTCCGAGCCTCTCAGCGATCCTAGCCGCTTCACCTTTCGTCAATCGGCTCATTTGTTGTTCGACATTCTCGCTGTTCAAGAATTCGAACTCTACCACCGCTGGTGCGCTCGGCCCGGCTGTGTCTCCCTCGGCCGGTTCGGGAGTATTTTCCCGGTCGCCTCGTCGAGAGGCAGTTTCCGGGTGGTCCCCAACCACCCGGGTAGGCGTTTCCCTAACGCCTTCGGTCGGGGAACCTTGTCTCTCTGATGAAGCTCTTTCTTCCTCCTCTTCGCTGGAGCTCCCCGATCCGCTTGAGCTGGAGCTCGACGACCCGGAGGAGCTTGACGCGTTGTTTTGTTCTGGAGTCTGCTCGGGGGCTGGCGCCGGTCGGCGGGTGTCCTCGGGAGAGTAGGACATGATGTCCACCTCTTCGTCGCTGAGATACTCGACCTCCTCATCGTAGTCCCCAATCGAGGCATTTTGACTGTCAGAATCCGTCATTTCGATCTACCTAAAGGTCGGTCGGGGTTAGTAAGGGACTTGAGACGTCCGGGACAGTTAGTTGGCCTACCAGTTCTACTTATGAACGAAAACACAAAGTGGAAGGAGGGGTTGAGAACTTACCGAATGGAGGAACTTTGCGGTTGAAAGCTTGAAGTCTTTAGCTCGACTGCCTTGCTAAGGTGCTCTGCTCGGGGCTCTCTGAGGGTACCGACTGAAGCAGAAGAGTGAAGAAAGTTCAAATGAGGGCCTCAAGGGCCTATTTATAGGGGAGCATTTAGGCGGGAAACGAGCCCACTTGCTTGACGCGACCCGCGCTGATTCCGAGGCGACCATTGCAGTCGTCGAGGCCAGCAGTGGCCGACACGTGGCGAGGAAGGGAATGACAGCTGGCAGGTCGGCTTGGTGGCTGACGATTGGGCTTCTTCATCCCGTCCCGTTTTTTCCCGAGTGATCAAAAAGGCCCGGGCTGGGGGGCTTTTGGTAGGGAATATCCCGACCGACATGAGCTCCACCACGACCAACTTGCCTTTGTCTTTTTCTTTTGATCTTTGCAGGTAGCAGGTCGGGCTTTTTCATGAAGGCCCCGGTCGGGAAGCGGCCGGGAGTTGCCCGAGCGCTGGTGTCAACCACCGAGCGGTAGCCCTTTGGCGAGAGAGCTGGCAAAAGGACGCGTGGCGGCTCTTCATGATGACAGACAGGGCACCCGGGAGGATGACACGTGGTGGCTACGTGGAAGACATGCCGAACGGCTGGAATCCTGTCCCCGGCACAGCGGCTATAAATACCCACAGTAGCTACAGTGTAGAGGACTTTTGGACGATCGATAGGTTGTTACTAGAGCATCCCGACCGCAGTCAGTCGGCACTCAGAGCAACCAAGTAGATTGTACTTAGGGCCTTTACCGTGATCAATAAAGTCTTTTATTTGTTTTAATCGATCTCGGGTTATTTATATTGCTTGCGTATATTTAGCAGTATCATATATATATATATATATATATATATATATATATATATATATATAACTTTTTTAAATATATATAAAGGGTTTCATTCCTTTATTCCACACTCCTAATTGGTAATTTGATTTTTAAGCTAAGTTTGGATTAGTGCTTTTAGATTTTTGTTTTTTTTTTTTTTTTTTGTTCATATTAGTACTTTGGATGTCTTTTTTTTTTTTTTTTTTGGTGAGAGTATTATTTTTTTTTTTGGTGAGATACTTTGGATGTCTTTATATTTAGAATACTAGTTTTACACGCGCATTGCATGAATGTGTTAATGCCCAATATTTATATTTAAATAAATATTTGAAAGTATATCAATGCAAGATTATATAGGAGAAGTTTATACATAGGTAATTGAATGTCGAATTTGTTTATTTAAATATGTAACTCGAAGTATATCAATGCAAGATAATATAAAAAATTTATTATAATTGTCACTAAAATAAATGTTTGCAACTTTGTAAAATCGATAGTCTAAATACTTGGTCTAAAAACGATAGTCTAAATAAATACTCTTTTGGTTTGCATTTTTCTAAGTATTCTTAATTCTCTTTTGAGTAACATTGGCATTGTCTTAATCTCCACTATTTGTCATATTCTTTTTTATTAGTAGTGTGTTATTTGCAATTGGGTTACTTTTGGTAGCATAGATGACATTGTCATGCAATGAGATTATGGTGTAGGAAGTTGTCCTTGTTGTGTATATGACTGGATTTTAGTTGTACTGTGAACTATTGATCATGCGAGCGTCTATTGATATTTTGGAGTGGTAGTTTGTTCCCCTACATGTTTCATATTGAAATATTGAATAAAATATTAATATTCATTATATTTGTGTAAGGTTAATGAGTAGTACATCTTGTTCTATTTTCATAACTTGTTCACTTGATAGTAACAACAATAACTATGCAGGTAGTCTGAATACTGATACTGCAACTATTCAACATTATAGTCTAACGACCATGAATCAGTACATAAATAAGGGATAGATTAGACCTTTCTATTCCAAGAATTAGTTGTAACCGCTTTTGCCGCCTTATCTTTTATACTTCTTGTACTCGTCACCTTCCAGATCATTTTCACTCACAACTCGTCAGCAACGTGTCCAATTTTATTAATAATTTCCACATACATTTTACACATGTTCATTTTCAAGTTCATATTTTTAGAATTAGTAAGAATAAGTGTACTACTTGGTTTTCTCTGTGTGTGTGTTTTTTTAAATTTTTTATTGAATTGATATTAACCTTCGAGTTAAATTGTTTCCACTTTGTGGATAAACTTGATTTTAAATAGTGACTACATCCTATTATACAAAGTATTTTTATTGTGAAGGTTGATGTTGATTTTGCCTGTAATCTAAGCAGGTTGAGTCTAGAAGATGAAATGATCGAATTGTAAATTTATATTAGTTCTAATATATTTAATGAATGACTTGAATGCACAATAAGTATTTTACATATGTACATGATAAATGAATGAATCAACGGTAGCTATTTTGAAATTTCTTCATTTTCTAGGTTTGCCAAATTGATTGTAACATTATTGTAGTCTCGACATTTTTCAATGCATCAAGTGTGTTATAATGTTCTATTGTTCTAAATTGACAGTTTAATGATAAGTTTTAAATGTAGCTACATAAGATAATGATATAATTAACTTTTACATATTATTATCAACATAAAAGCATACCAGTCCTTTACGTGTTCTGCTCGGTGTTCATTTGGTTCAACCATTATTGTTGAATGGGTTATTGTGAATAAAGAAATCTTTAGTTTAATTTAAGGAATAAGATCAGATAAAGTAGTAAAAATTTGAATATTTTAAATATGATGTAGTCCAAAGATATTACTTGGTAGTTAGTTTCCTACTTTAATTTGTTGGGTGATTTTAAATTTTTTTTTTTCATATATGGTATTAATAAAATACTTGGTAAATAAATATATAACATTATTTTGTATTATAACTTTGATAATTAATTACAAGACAGTGTAAAAAGGAGATAATGGACAATGTAATGAATATCAATTGATGAATTTGAATGTAAAGAATCATTGAATTGGAGAAAATAAAGACAATATAACTAATGAAATTATTTCTCTTATTTAATCTATTGATAATGAATAAATTTTTTTAAATATATGCATTGTAGACATATAATTCTAAATTAATGAAATGCATATATATCATTTTTTTTTTTTTGTTGTAGCTACTAATTTATTTTTAATTTAATAAGAGTAAAATAGAGTGATGATAAACCGATTTTGATTGTGATGAGGTTCGAACCTAAGACATTTCTTATTGAGATCAATGACTAAGTTAATAATTAAGGATAAATTTGGATTGGGATGAGGTTCGAACCTAAGACCTTTCTTATTATTGAAATCAATAAGTTAGTTAATAATTTATTGGGAAATCTCAATAAAAAAAATTAAAATATGATCAATCTAAACCATTCATTTAATTTAATAATTTTAAGGTAATGTTTTCTACCTATTAGAGGCCTAACTTCTCTTGGCTCTTATTAGCTAGTACTAGTATAGTAGAAATTGTCTTGATTTTTTGTTCTTGTATTTTAGAACCTTTATTCCCATTATAGGATCATACATAACTAAATAGCAATATTGAGAATCATTTCAATTCTACCCTACTACCTAAAATACAAAATACTTACACAAAAACTCATTACCATTACCAAGTATTTGATTCTCATTCTCATTCCGATTCACATGTGCAAACCAAACACTTGTCTTAAGCAATATAAATAGGAGGGGATAGGCTGTGGACTCAAGAGATATCAAACAAATCAGAGAATTGAATCAACTCAGATCAATTATTGAGAGATGGAAAAGGTGATATTATTATTGCTGCTCTTCTCTCTCAACTCTCAACTAACCATGGGAGAAGGAACTGTAACAACAACAGGACCTATTTCAAATATCTGCTATCGGACACTCAACCTTGGTGAGAACCAAGTCAAACCTCTTAGCACCGAAGATGGTAATTAATAAGTGCCCATAAATATTCTTTTTCTTTAAATTACACACATCAGTATAATATTCTGAGGGTTTATTATTATTTTTTTTTTTCAAATATGATATTTTTCAACATGTCATATATTTTGGAATATTATTTTAGCATGTCATATGGACTGTAGACATAGTGGGTGTGGAGTATTGAGAAATTATTTGATCGATACCAGTAATAAACAATAAACTAAAACTGTTATATATGTATTGATTTTTATTTAATTTTATACTTTTTTTTGTTTCTCTCACATATGCCAGAGAATGCCATTATTGAATTGATTGGATGTGAGACGAGCACTTACTCCAGAAATGGCACGAATTGCGATATGCGAAGATCAGATAGAGTTATTTGTGACTGCAGTCTCGATAAGGATGTTTGCCGGGTGACAGCAATGTAGTACTTTGTATATATATTCATTTTATTTTAATATTTCAAATAATTATTTTGATTTTCTCTTTTACATGACATTGGTTAGCAAAATGAGAAATAATAATTTTTAGTTAAGTTAGTCAAGTTGTTGATTCATTAATCACAAATTTTACAAATTTAATTTTTGATTGAAATGACCTATTATGGTCATTTGCCAGTTAGGCATAACTAAAAATCAAAGTAACTTAGTTAGCTATCTGGTGACATTTTGATTATATATTATCTTTAACTGTTCGTATGAGTAGGTGAAATTTGTCACAAAAGGTTAAAGATTGAGTTTCACCAATAGCATTGTGGGAACAACCCCACTAAAAATGAGGGATTCTTTCTGTGCAACAAGTAAAAGTCTAGATCTGTTAATTAGTTGAGTGCAGTGATTAAAAGAGATTCAGTGAATATGTTAGCTTCCTTGTTTGCAGTGAACAAAAGAGATTCATTTAATATCATAAGTTTTTCCCCCGGGGCTTAATGTAGTTGGTTTGTCGCCTGACTTTAGTCATGATTGGAGGCGGCAGTGCAGAGGGTTCGAATTCCACTGAAAACATGTATGAGAATAAGGCTTAAGGATGTACCGGTTGACTAATTACGTGACTCGCAATTTACTTCCACAATGACTCTAGGGATGAGGTCCTGAGGACTTAGAATTAGTCCGTCGAAGTTGAGATCACCTAAGTTAAAAATAAATAAATAAATAAATAAATAAATTCATTATAATATAATAACTTTATTATGAGATATTAGATGATAAGTGACAAATTTTATTATTATTATTATTATTATTATTATTATTATTATTATTATTATTATTATTATTATTATTATTTCAAAAGGTTGAACCCCAACCCTAATTATTATTATTATTATTATTATTATTATTATTATTATTATTAGCAGCAACAGCAGTAGTGGTGCTGTTGTAGTTTAAAAATAATTTTTATTATTTAAAAATGATTTATTAATATACACATATATTTCTTATCATATACTTCAATTTCTTACCATTGTTTTTCCTAACTTCGTATTCATCCAATTAGCTATTTAATCCAATTATTAGCTAAATCTTATATTACTATTGATTTTCCTACAAATCTATTGTAGTTGGTTTACATATGGTTGGGAAGGTGAATTGCCAGAAGTAATCGGAAACCTTACAAATTTATTCTCATTGTAAGTATCCGGCCTGTACGAAATAATATGTACTGTTATTATATTACATTTGATTCTAAATAATTATTACAAAGTAGTTAATTTATGCATGTATTGAGTTACGTTGTCACTGGTGTATTTGTTATAGAAAGTTGTATGGAAACAAGTTTTCTGGCGAAATTCCAATGTCGTATGCAAATTTAAAGAATCTCATCCATTTGTAAGTACTCTAATTAAAATGAAAATAATATTCATTTTTTTCTTCATTTAATGCTTGACATGATGATTTAAGATTGATAACTGTAAACATTTTTTTAAAAAAATTATTGTATTCTCTTCTATAATTGATAGGGATCTTGAAGGCAACGAATTAGAAGGACCAATACCCCCGTTTCTTGGTAATATGAAGTTGGATTTCTTGTAAGTCAACACCACACTCCCCTCGATAGGTAGAAGAAAATATTTTATTCTCGATGTGAGCGAGTTATTGACCTTCTTAGTTTGAATCGATCAGTTATGAACAACCTAGCTAGTTAGTTTATTATAAATCTATTACTGAATATTATTTTCCTAGGTCTCATTTTATATGTCTTGTTTGGTTAATGATTTTTCATAATATTTAATTAGTTTACTATTCATTATTAGTATATAGAATTTTATTTTAAAAAAGTATATTAAAAGTACTAATAAACACAAAAAATAACAAATATTGTGTTATTATTATATAATAAAATGTATATATTTAAAAACTACATTCAAATTACTATTAAATACCCAAAAAATTAAATTTAAAATTATAACAAATTAATTAAAATGTTAAAGAAAATAAGCCGGAATTTTTTTTTTTTACCGATGAATAGTAAATATAATAGGTAAAATGTGACAAATGAATAGTTAGTTTGACTAATAAATAGAAAAATTTGATAGGAAAATGGGATAAATAAATAATATTAAATTACCTATTTCATTTTTTTTTGAATGCCACTGACTCTATTATATTGTAGTATCCACAAAGAATCAATAACACCTCCACTGAGGCTCAATCTCATGACCTCCCACATGAGAGAGGTCACTACATGTCATCTGAGCAAAAGGTGCTTGGCACCTTTTTCATATTTAATAAAATAGAATTTGTAAAATTATTGTCTCCATGATTCTTTTTAAATATGATTATGTTGTTTTTAAATGTTACGAGTATATATTACATTGCTTGATATGCACTTGTGATTTCCACACTAGGGATCTATCTGGTAATTCATTTGATGGTGAAATTCCAACTCAATTGGGTTCTCTTGTAAATCTAACGTTTCTGTAAGTATATGAATAATTCATTTACATATTTGGTTAATTAATATGCGAGAATCGTTCAATCTTGTTTATTGTTTACTTTCCTTTCTAAATATGTACACATTTTCAATCTAATATTTTATTTTGGGCCAACAACTATTACATTTTCGTTAAAAAAAATATTCCATTTCACTAATATATTTTTAAAAATATATTATATTTTTTCAGTAAATTGAAAAATGTAAAACTTGTTAGCTCATATAAAAGTATTATATTTTTTTTAAAAAATCACATATTTCACGTAAAACAGTTTCTAATCAATTTTTTGTGTTATTTACTAGTTAATTGAATAAATAAATAAAGCATTGTCTAAAATATACTTGTGATTTCGACTACAGGGATCTATCTGAAAATTCATTCAGTGGTTCAATTCCTACTCAATTGGGTTCCCTTGTAAATCTAAAGATTCTGTAAGTATATGAGTAATTTTAATTACTCATTTTGTTAATTGAGAGGCAATAATCACTTTATCTTGTTTATTATTTAATTTCTTTTTAAAAATAATGCACATCTTCAATTTGATATTCTATTTTTAATTGGGTTAACAATTATTGCTTCTCGTTGAAAAAAAAAATACTTTTTTAGTAAACTAAAAAATGTACTACTTCTTATATAAAAAAAAAATTAAATTATTACATTTTTGTTAAAAAAAAATTATGGAATTTCCGACCACCTGAAAGTGATCTTAAATCAAGTTGTAAGCAAAAAGTGGTCGGAAATAGCAGCAAAGGTTTTTCCGGATACCAAAAGTGGTCGGAAACAAGGCTTTCAACTTGATTTAAGATCACTTTCAGGTGGTCGAAAATTTCAGAATTTCCAGTAATGAATATTGGTTAAAATATCTATAACGTCCATGAACTATTGAATGTATAACAATTAACGGTGTTAAAATGAATGTTAGGTGTATTCAATCATGACTTTTGTAGACTTTTAAACACTTTTAAATTGTAATAAACTTTTATAGAGTCGTTCGTTCAAAACTTTGTAAGATTAAGTCTATATAAAAAACATTCATAAACTTTCATCAATTTTTTTTTTTTTTTAGAGTCTACAAAAGTCATTGAAATTATAAATTGAGTACACCCTTGCAAATTTTCAATGATTTTGATTCTTATCATTTATAATTTTCTTACAAAACATGTTATAATATATCATAAAATTCTTCTCATTATATAACTCTTCACTCACATCAACATTATTATTTTTATCTATAGAATATAGTATGGTGAAACTTATATGCTAATTACTTTTATCTAATCTAAAAACATTATAAGTCTCCATCAAATTATATCCCTAATTTATGTCCATGTTTTTAGTACGAATCATTTTGTACATTGTGTTTTTAGAGTTGTATTATATAATTTTTTTTTTGACAAAATGCACATATTATTATAACTTCCGTTATCTTTTTCATTATTGTTACCATGCACATGCATCCACCATATATTAGATTAATATAATAAATAATTTATTTTGAAATAAAGTATAATAAATAATTTTTATTTCATATATATTTTAATTAGTAAGAATTTACTAGTTAGTTTTTAAAATATAAATATTGGACATATCTTTTTGCGCATCGCGCATAGAAAATAATAGTATAGTATTAATAAACATCAACAAACAAAAAAAAACTATTTCATAAGAAATTCATAATAATATTGAACCTAAAACTTATAGTAATAGAATTGTTCAAATAAAATATTTAAAAATATAATTACTAGTTGCATAAAATAAAAGAAATTAATATATATATATATATATATATATATATATATATATATATATATATATATATATATAAAGTTCCCATGCGGTTGAGTGTCTCTCATGCGGTTGTGCGGTGACTAAGATGCGTGAGTTTTGTGCTTAAGGTGCGTGGATTTGTGCTTAATGTGAGTAGTTGCTGAAACTTAGCTGTGTGACTTTCCTTCTTAATGTGCGTTGTTTTCATCCTTAAGGTGCGTGGTTTGTGTGCTTAAGGTGCGTCAGTTGTGTGAAACTTAAAGTAAACCATTTTTAAAACCTTAGGTGTGTGGTTTGTGTTCTTAAGTTGCTTTGTTATGTGCTTAAGGTGCATGGTTTAATTTGTGTTCTTAAGGTGCGTGATTTGTGTTTTTAAGGTGTTTTGTTTGTGTGCTTAATGTGCGTGTGTTGTGTACTTAAAGTGCGCCATTTTAATGCTTAATGTGTATCCAACCGCATGGGAAGCCATTCCCACACCTGATCCCTTCCCTTTATATATATATATATATATATATATATATAATTATACTTGATATACTGCTAGGCATCAATCAAACAAAGAGTTGTTATTATTTGCAATAGCAATTTGGGACTACAAACAACAACAACAAGGTGCTATATATATAGGGAAGGGATCAGGTGCGGGAGCTACCTTAGGGGGTAGGGGGCCCTGCTCCCCCTACCTTCCCACCCCACCCCTACCCTCACCTTAAATTTTTTAGTAAATATGTATGTATATATTAATATAGTAGGGATAAAATACACTTTTGGCCCCTCTCTAATTTTTTTTAAAAAAAATAATTTATTATGTTTATATTAAATGAACTCAAAATATATGTTAAAGTTCAAATTCATTAAATAAATAGAAATAAATCAAATAATTAAAGTGATCATTTTTCATTATTATCTTATTTCATTTATCAAGATTTTAATAATGAATTGCATCAAGTATACATTTTAATTTTAAAAAATCTCCAAATTTGAGATATATGCTTTGGTTTTATTGTGTGTTTTAATTATTTATTTACATTTTTAAGATGTACATTTGCTAATTTAAATGATTAGTTTTGAAATTGACAAAAATTAATATTGATTATTTAATGCGTCTTGGTTTTTGTCTTTATCTCTCAAATTTTAAAATATTCAGTTAACCAGTAAAATGAATATAAGTTCATTATAAAAAAAGTTTGTGACAAAATAATTGATAGCTTTTTATTTGATATTAAATGACAATCTATATTTAAATAAATATTGTTGTTATTGTTATTATTATATTTTGTGTTATGCAAAAAATATCTAAACTAATGATCGACATCAGTGTTGATCGTACTCATATAAATATGTATTTCATACTTTATTACACATGGTATAATTAATTAGAAATCATTATCAATAATCACTACTGGAATTTATGGATTTTTCGACCACCTGAAAGTAATCTTAAATCAAGTCGAAAGCCTTGTTCCGACCACTTTTGGTATCTAGAAAAACCTTTATTGTTATTTTCGACCACTTTTTTCTTTCGACTTGATTTAAGATCACTTTCAGGTGGTCGAAAATTTCATAATTCCATTAGTGAATAATCGTAATAATGTATGGTATATATAATAATATGACGCGGTTAATTATAATATCCACTAACATTGTAAATTTTCTCTACTACATCGGCCCCCTCAACTCAAGTTTTCTGGCTCCATCCCTGGGGAGGGGCTTCCCGTGCGGTTGTGCAGTTGGACTCACATTAAGCATTAAACTTATGCATTTTAAGTACACAACACACGCACATTAAGCACACAAACAAAATACCTTCAGAACACAAACACACGCACCTTAAGCACAAAACTCAAGCATCTTAAGCACAACCCTCACGCACCTTAAGTACAAAACTCACGCACCTTAAGCACAAAAACATACGCATCTAAAGTTTCAGCAACTACTCACATTAAGCACAAACTCACGCACCTTAAGCAGAAAACTCAGGCACCTTAAGCACAAGACTCACACACCCTAAGGGCTCGTTTAGTTCGCGGAAAATATTTTAATGGAAGTGGAGTTGGAATTTCATGGAAAAACAATTACTAGGAAGATAAATTTCATTGTTTGGTTGGTGGAAAAGAATTACTTGGAATACTAATTCTATTGTTTGGTTAGATTTGAAATTGTAAGGAATAATGAATATAAAGACTTATATGCCCCTACAAATTAATAAAAGTAATATAATTAAAAAAGAAAGCAAGGGTAAAATAGGCAACTTATTCACTTTTTCTTTCCATCTTCCCTGGAAAACAAAATCCTTAGTCCAACCAAGGATTTTGTTTTCCTAAAATTTGAGGAATTCATTTTCCAATGGAAAATGAATTCCATGAACCAAACACTAGAAAACAACATTTTCCTTCACTTTAAGGAAAATGTTTTCCTTTGGAAAACATTTTCCATGAACCAAACATCCCCTAAGTACAAAACTCACCCACCTTAAGTTTCAAGAACTACTCACATTAAGTACACACTCACGCACCTTAAGTACAAAACCCACGCACCTTAAGCACAATACTCACACACCTTAAGTACAAAACTCACGCACATTACTCACCGCACAACCGCAGGGAAACATGCACTTGCACTAATTTTATACATACATATATATATATATATATATATATATATATATATATATATATATATATATATATATATATATATATATGAATTCATGTGGACAAATCTGAGCCATTGAATACTTGAGATCAATGGCTTAGATTTGACCAACTCTGCAATTTCGCAACTGTGCACTTCACTTGCATAGTTGGCGAAATCTAAACCATTGATCTAAAGCATTTAATGATCCAGATATGTCCACACGGACTCATATAACAAAATGGACTCATTTGATCACTAGTCTATATGTGTGTGTGTGTGTGTGTGTGTGTGTGTGTTTGTGTTACGAATATAAACATTAAAAAAAAAGGAATAAAAATCAAAATACACAAGCAATAATGAAGTAAAAATAATATTATTTTGAAAAAAAAATGTCTACAAAAGACCTAAATTAAAAGTCCACACAAATTTATAAGTTTTTGAATACCACATTACTTGTAAAGTCTTTTTAAAACTCTTAATCGAATACCACCTGACTTTTAAAGATTTTTTTAAAAATCTTAATTAAAAATCACCTAATTTTTGAAGATTCTGTGTCGTTTGGTTCACGGAATGTCAGATTATCTTATGAAATGTTAGATTGCTTGTAATGTTAGATTACTGGGAATGTTAGATTCCTGTGTTTTGCTAAAATTAGGGTATGTGATATAATCATGTTTTGTTTAGGGTTATCTTTTATACACACACTATAATATCCTTAACATATTTTCATATATTTTAATAAATTTAAAAATTAAAATAAATAAATACATATTTTCATATATTTTAATAAATTTAAAAATTAAAATAAATAAATAAGATAACGGTATCATATATAATTACATGATTTTTAAAATATTAACTAAAATTTTGAACGTGAGAAACAAAATTATTTTATATGCTAACATAACATAATAAAAATTAAAAAATATATAATTACAAAAATAATTATATATATATATATATATATATATATATATATATATATATATATATATATATATATTAAACTAACATAACCAAGGTTATCTTACATAACCTAAGAAATTGAAGGTAATCACATTCTCTTCAAAATCCTATGTGGAGGCCGGGATTATGACATTCCATGGGAATGTGACATTCCCTAAGATAATATGAATCAAACATAGGAATGTGAGATTTGGAATGTCACATTACCTTGGTTATGTTATATAACCTGAACCAAACGCCCCTAAAAGTTTGAATTAAATACCTCCAAACTTTTATAGTTTATATTTATAAAAGCCTTTAAAAGTTTAATAAAAGTCATAATTATTGAATACATCCTTTACTTTTGCTTATATGACGTTGACCTTAATTATCATTGCCACATCAATCTAATTGATGATGTTAAATGTCAATTCATATCTTATTAATATTATAAAAATAATTAATTACATCTCCAACATACTTTATTAATATGATTCCAAGTTGTACAATTGCAATGCCATGAACTCTTGAGCTATTAATATTACAAAAATAATTGACTTGAACTCTTGAGCTATTTCACAAATAAGATTACTCATTCCCACTTTACAAAATATTCATTTTGTCAATTTATTTGCAAACATTAATTAAAGAACATTTAAAAGTAAGATCTGTAGAAAATTTTATTTCTACTAAAAATTTTCTTAAAATTAAGAATATATTAATATGTACAAATATTTGTAATTTATGTTGATAAAATTAATAATGAATAGTGAAATTTTTAATATTTCAACTCATTCTGGTATGTAACTTTTTAACAATTAACGTTTTAAATAAATTTAACATTAGAAATAAATAATAAAATATTGTTAATGTTAAATCTTTTTTGAATAAATTATTTAATATGCATCTTTATACAAAATTTTAAAATTTTAATTATTAATTAAAAATATGTATACATACTAAAATAAATTGAAATATTAAATATTTACTCATCATTATTAAATTTTTATGAACTAAAATTAAAAATTCATTATAAACACATCGATTTATTTTGATTTTTGGACAAAATTAAGTTTTAGGAACTAAATTAAACAAAGCTAAAAACAAAAAAAAAAAAAAAACAAAAAAACAAAAAAACAAAAAAACAAAAAAAAAAAAAACAAAAAAGGAGAAATATACAAACTATAACATAGTCAATAGTACTAAAAAAAAGAACTAAATTAAACAAAACTTAATAGTACATAAGACCTTATATAGTCATATGTACTTTAACAAAATATATATATATAGGGGCGGACCTACAGTGGGGGCAGCTGCCCCCCCCTCCCCCCACCCCCTTATATATAGCACTTGTATATGTATGTATGTATATATATAGTATATATATTAAGTATTAGTAAAAGAAAACATATAATTGTAAACAGAGGATCGGTTAGACTAGATGGAAGGGCATGTGCTTGACTCTTTAGTTTGGCGTGGGTTCGAATCCCTGCTTTACACAGTTATTTGCAACCTTTAGCTCAACACCATTAAATTTTGGTTGGCTTTGCTTCAAGTTAAATACTCCTTAAATTTTGGCAAATTTTGGCTTTTTAAATATTAATAGTGAGATTCTCACATATACCTACATATTTATTTATTTATTTTTCGCTATATCTAACACATTTAAGTTTTGACTTTTTAAATATTAATAGAGAGTTTCATACAAACCTACATATTTATTTATTTATTTATTTTTCGCTAAACAACATTTATAGTTATACTTTTAAGTGTTTTTTTTTTTTTTCAAACTCTCTCTTTTGTTTTAATATTTTGCCCTCACTGAACAAAATTTTTGGGTCCGCCACTATATATATATATATATATATATATATATATATATATATATATATATATATATATATATATATATATATATATATATATATATATATAACATTTTTTTCATATGATATAGTACCGCATGAGCTTTTGAGTTATTTACTATCTGAGTGAATATATAAACAGAAATTCATCTAAAATATTCTTTTGACTTTTATTACAGGGATCTATCTCAAAATTTATTTAGTGGTTCAATCCCAATTCAGTTGGGTTCTCTTACAAATCTAACTAGTCTGTAAGTATATGAGCACTTTATTATATTTTAATTTTTTAACGTAGGTGAATGAGCACTTTATTTTTACTCATTGAGTTAAGTAACAAGAAAAAATAATTCTTTCTTGTTTATTATTTAATTTTTTTAAAAAAATGTGCACATTTTCAATCTAATATCTTATTTATTTGTTCAATTAGTCTTTTGTGAAATCGTTTCATATAAGATGAATAATACCTTTTATGGGTCAACTTACATTTTTATTAAAAATAATATATAACATTGTTCATCAATACTTTTCAAAGAACAAGTGGTTTTTTAATGCACTGAAAAATATAATATTTAATTTCAAAAAAAAATATTTGTTGGGCAATTGAAAAGGATTAAATTATAAAAAAAAAAAAAAGTATTACATATTTGAGATTTATGGTACGTGAAATGGTCACATCATTTCTTTTATTTGTTAACTAATTGAATAAATAAATGAAACTTCATTTGAAATTAAATACATTTGTAATTTTCACTGCAGGGATCTATCTAATAATTTATTTAGCGATTCAATTCCAATCCAGCTAGGCTCCCTTGTAAATCTAAATTATATGTAAGTATATCGGTAATTTATTTACTCAATTTGTTAATTAAAATGCGAGAATCATTCTTTCTCGTTAATTATTTATTTTGTTTTGAAAAAAAAAAAACAGTATGTGCATTTTGAGTTTGGTTCTTATTTTTTGAATTAACAACTATTACATTTTTTAGAAACATACTTAGCTTACCAGCCAATTTTGATTTATTTGATCATTATTAGCTGTTTGAAGCAATCAATATAAGTGTTTGATTAATTAGCTTTTTGTAACAGCTTATTGCTTCAAAATGCTAAAATTCAAAAAGGTTGCTTAAAACAACTTTTTCGATCAGGTTGTTAAGAAAGTAATTTTTCATGTAATCAGCTATCAGCTAACATCTAATTTACCAAACGTTTTTCTACAATCAGCTAATATTATCAACTAATCAGCTAACATCTAATCATCCATTTACCAAACACCCCATTTACGTTTCGCCAATACTTGTCAAGGAAAAGCAATATTTTTTTAGTAAACTTGAAATTATAATACTCGTTAAATTATAGAAAAGTATTTAATTTTTGTTTATATATTTGATATTTCTTTCCATTAATAGTCTTAAATAAATTTTTGAGTGATTTGTAACTAATTGAATACTAAATAGGACTCTATTTAATGCACGTGTGGTTTTCACTACAGGTATCTCTACAATAATTCTTTTGGTGGTCCTATTCCAATTCAACTAGGCTCCCTTGTAAATCTATTGTATCTGTAAGTATATGACTAATTTATTTACTCATTTTGTAAATTAATAGGCGAGAATCATTCTATCTGATTTATTACTTTTTTATTCTATTTTACTTATCATCTTTGTTTTTTTTTTTTTTTGAATGCTACTTATCATCTTTGTTAGTTTTTGTTCAAATTAACAATTTTTTTTCCTTACTTATTTTCTTTCGTATTTTCTTATAATTCTATTTTTTGTGTTTATTGGTACTTTTAATGTAGTTTCTAAATATATAAATTTTATATACTAGTATTATACTTAATAACATAAGTCAAATTTCATTAATCAAACTAGGCACATAAAATATGATTGATGTAATATTTAATTTATTATATATATATATATATATATATATATATATATATATATATATATATATATATATATATATATATATATAGTTGCACTCGGGTGCGAACGGCTCGCCCAGTGCGAAATAGGAATGGATTCTGTCCGTCCACGTGTCCAGATCTAATGGATGAGAAATACTGATTTTTTTTAAAAACGCGGTGGCATTTTTGTAAATAATTGAACATCGAAGTGCAAGTAAAATGTATTACAAGTGCATGTAAAATGTATTATAGGTGCAAGTAAAAATTTACACTGAGCATCAATACTTAGTTGCACCAATAGTTCTAAGTAGTTGCACCTATAGTTCTAAGTAGTTGCACACATAGTTATAAGTAGTTGCACCCAGGTGTATGAATGTTTGCGAGTGATTTTAAGGGATATTACTACCCGCTGAACTCAGATCAATGAATGTTAACAAGGCAAAATTACATGCACTTATAGGTGAAAGTATGTGCACCTATAGTTATAAGTAGTTGCACATATAGTTATAAATAGTTACACATAGAGTTATAAGCACACCCAAGTGCATGAATGTTTGCGGAAAGTGAATGCTAACAAGGCAAAATTACATGCACTTATAGGTGAAAGTAGGTGCACTTGTAAGTGATTTTACTTGCACTTCGATGTTCAATTATTTACGAAAATGCCACCGCATTTTTTTTATAAGTTATTAGATCTGGACACGTGTCGCACGCTGATTCGTTCGCATTTCCCGCCTGAACACTTATTCGCACCTGAGTGCATCCCTATATATATATATATATATATATATATATATATATATATATATATATATATGTATATATATATATATATATGTATGTATATATATATATATATGTATGTATATACATATATATATGTATGTATACATATATATATATATACATACATATATATATATGTATATATATATATATATGTATATACATACATATATATATGTATATACATATATATATATATGTATATACATACATATATATATGTATATACATACATATATATATATATATACATACATATATATATATATATATATATATATATATATAAAGAATTGTGCACAATTTCAAATTGATATCCTATTTCTGGCCTTGGGTCGTCAATAACTATTACAGCACATTGTTATATTCTAGACCATAATCCATTTTACAAAATTAACTCAAACTACATCAAAAAGTTCATGCCTTTTGTTTCTAAATTCTTTTTTAACTTAATTTATTTTTTCCTTTGTTCTTGTACAAATAACATCATTAAAAGACTTCAATTGAAATCTTTTAAATGACACGCCTATATCAAATTTTATTTTAGTAACATACAATTACATTGAATTACTATTATAGTTCATTAAGCACTACTATAGACTCATTATGTTGTTTTTTTTTTCCAAATTTTTTTATTAACATACAATTACATTGAATTACTATTACAGTTCATTAAGTCACTACTATAGACTCATTAAGTTGATACAACATGGTCATCAAGTCACAAGTGTAATTAAGTTCATTAATTAAGTCAATAGTGTAAGTTGATTAAGTTACTAGTGCAGGTTCATTAAATTACTAATACAAGTTTATTGAGTCACTTCAATAGTTTCATTAAGTCATTAGTACGTTTCGTTAACTCACTACTATAGATTTATTAAGTTCCTACTTCAAGTTGATTAAACAATTAATTACTACATGTTTATTAAGTCAGTACTATAAGTTCGATCATTAAGTTACGACTATAGGTTCACTAAGTTTGTACTACAAGTTCATTAATTACTATTGTAGGTTCACAAAGTCATTACTATATATTCATTAAATTATTGTTTTAGGTTCATCAAACAATTATTTAAAAATAATGACTATCATTTAAAAGATCATAACAAGATTTTTTTAACAAATAATTTTGTATACATTGATTTTATTCATAAAAAAGAAAAGAAATATAATAATATATTTAATAAATAATTGGTCAATTGGGATGCATATGTTCTCATATGATCCTATATATATATATATATATATATATATATATATATATATATATATATATTGGATCTCATGAGAACACACACCAGGAGAAAACTAAAAACAAATCTCAGTCTTACATCTATAAAAATTCAATGGTTCTGATCATATTAAAAGAAAAAAAACGTAGTGGCATTTTCGTATTCATCATCAACTTCACCATGCAAACTTGAACACTGAAATATGCAATCTTTAACAACTAAATATGTAAACCTGGTAAATTTTATAAAATCAATGAAAAAGCTAAATTTTAAATCTAAACTGTAAATTTTAGATGCTAAGCAGTAAAATGTGAATCACTAAATCAAATAAAACAAAAACGCAGTCATAAACTCTAAAATCAAAACCCTAAGTGCAATGTACTTTCACATTTTTGCAAGCACAATCTTTTACTACTAAATGTGCAAAATGATAGTACTAAATGTGCAAAATGATAGTACTAAATGTGCAAACCTGGAATATTATAAAAATTGCAGATTTTAGTGTCCAAATTTGCATAGTAAAATTAGTGACAATTACAAAAATGTCATTGCATTTTTAAAAAAAATTATATCCAGTCCATCCAATTTTTACGATTAAGATTGGTTTCTTGTCTTCCCCTAAAGACTTGTTATCATATGATCCAAAACCTGTGTGTGTGTGTTTGTGTTTGTGTGTGTGTGTGTGTGTGTGTGTATCTCCATAATTAGATGTGAACTAACCTTAATTTGCGGACTTGCGAACTATTGAAGGATTGCAATGCACCAGATGCGTTTGCATTGCAAGGTTTCTCCAGACATGTCTGGGAGCCATTGTAATGCAATCCTGTAATAGCTGCTATACAATAATATTATTTAAAAATTCTTATGTAATAATAATAATAATAATAATAATAATAATAATAATAATAATAATAATAATAATAATAATAATAATAATAATAATAATAATAATAATAATATCATTATTATTATTATTATTATTATTATTATTATTATTATTATTATTATTATTATTATTATTATTATTATTATTATTATAATATGGGTATTGATGTCTTTTAAAAATATATTCTATATTCTATTTCTATTCTTTAAACTAGCCAAACACTGAAATAATATCCCTAAATTCTATTCATTCAACGAATCAAACAATAAAATATAATTCATATTCTATTAATTGCATATTCCATTCTTTATTATAGAATAATATTCATATTTCTTTAAAATTCATTTCATGAACCAAACATGCTATTAGAATATTATTGAAATGAACCTTAGTCACTAATGAAATATGGACTGTGATCTATGATATAATTTGACTATAACATCTTAGTGGAAAAGTATTACATTTCATGAATACTATTCAAGGAAAAGTTTGGAAAATTTAATACTTACTTATCTATAAAAAAAAATGTCACTCCGTATGATGAGAACTGAATAAATTGTATTGAATAAACTGTGGTAGCAATTGTACAAATAGGGGGAATATATACAAGAGGAATCATAAGAAGACTCAGATACAAAGAGTCCTAATACTAGTCTTAATACTCCCCCTCAAGCACTAGGCAATGCGTTGGTGAATATGTCTGCAAGTTGATCTCTGTTGAGATGAAATTGACTTAAATTTCTCCAGCAGCAACTCTATCTCGCACAAAGTGATAATCTATCTCCACATGTTTGGTGCGAGCATGAAAGATGGGGTTGACACACATATATGTAGCTCCAAGATTATCACACCATAATTTGGGGATCGAAATACCTGGGACGTGAATTTCTCGTAGAAGGGACATGATCCAAATTACCTTAGTACACACATCTGCTAGAGCTTTATATTCGACCTCAGTAGAAGATCTAGAAACTATTCTTTGTTTCTTGCAGACCCATGATATAAGATTAGATCCAAGAAAAACAGCAAAGCCACTTGTGGATTTTCTATCCTCTGGACAGCCAACCCAGTCAGAATCGGAGAAGGCATGAATTTCTCTTGAAGATGACTGACTGTCTGAATCGTAGACCAAAAGTAACAGTTCCTTTGACATACCTTAGAACTCTTTTTAGTTGTTCCCAGTGAGCAACCGTAGGCGCAAGCATATGTTGACATAACTGATTGACTGCAAAGGAAAGATCATGACGAGTGATAGTTAAATACTGTAGTGCACCCGCTAAACTCTTGTACTGTGTAGGATCATCATGTAACACTGTAGTGGTGGGCACGACTTTGGACGTGGGAATGGGGGTAGACAAAAGTTTTCACTCTGCCATTCCAACACGTTTTAGAATGTCATGCATGTATCTTTGTTGTGAAAGTAAAATTACATGCATCACTGCATTTAACTGCCTCAATTCCAAGAAAAAAATCTGGTTCACCAAGATCTCTGATTTTAAAAGTAGTAGAAAGTTTCGAAACTAACTGAGTGACTAGATCTGTATTGCTTCCCATCATAAGTATATCATCCACATAAACTAACATATATACACAATCAGATCCTTGTGAATAGTAAAATAAGGACACATCCGTTTTTTATGCCTGAAAACCAATAGATAATAGAAAGGTGTGCAAACGATTAAATCAAGCTCTAGGAGCATGTTTTAGTCCATAAAGTGACCTTTTCAATAAGTAGACATGATTTGGATAGTAGGCATCAATATATCTAGGTGGTTGCTTCATATACACAATTTCAGATAGATTTCCATTTAAAAAGGCATTATGAACATCCAGTTGCTTAATAGACCATCTTGATGATAAAGCCAAAGAGAGAAGTAACCTAACTGTGGTCGGTTTGACCACTGGACTGAACGTATCAAAGAAATCCTAGCTGGGTACCTGATTAAACCCTTTTGCAACAAGTCTTGCTTTGTGCCTCTCAATGGAGCCATCTGCTTTTCGTTTCATACGAAAAACTCACTTACACCCAATAATGTTCATACCTTGCTGAGATGGCACAAGTTGCCATGTTTGATTCTGTAGAAGGGCATTAAATTCTTGATCCATAGCCTCACGCCATTCTGAAAATTTAACTGCCTGAGTATAACAAGTAGGATCTGAAGGACACACCTGAACGGTTAAAGCTGATGGAGGAGCCTGAGAGCGACTACGAGTGTTCATCTCGTGAGTCCGAACTGTGGATTTAACGGTTTTACCTCGAGGTCGGCCGCTAGGCCGCTTAGCAGGATGGTCTGTGCACTCATGCGGGCTCGTGCTCGGGCACATCTGGTGGGCTGACGGCAGTGTGTGGCGGTGAAGACTGTGGGTTGTTTCTGCTGGGCGAGGAAGTTGTTGTTGCAGGTGGTTGTGGCAAGCATGTCGCAGGTGGTTCCGTGCCGTGGAAAGAAGCAGCAGGAGGCGTGAGGCAAATAACAAATTCGGGCCACGAGTAATTTTGCACTGGTTGGGGAGACTGCACAGAAGTGCTAGTAGCAAAGGGATAAATAGTCTCATCAAGCCTCACATGCCTGCACACATAAATCTTGTTAGTGTGTAAGTGCATGCACCTATACCCTCGGAATTACTCAGAATATCCTAAGAAGACACATTGAGAGGAACGATATGACATTTTGTGACGGTTGTTTGGTCTGAGATACGGATAACATAGACACCTAAAGACACGAAGAAAGGAATAGGAAGGATGAGAGTTATGCAATTTTAAATGAGGATTGAAGTTATTTGATACAACGAATGACATTTTGTTGATTAAATAAACTTTAGTTTCCAAAGCAAAATCCCAAAATTTATATGGAACAGAGGCACGGGCTAGGAGAGATAAACCCGTTTCAACTATGTGTCTATGCTTTCGTTCGACACGACCGTTTTGTTCATGAGTGTAGGCACAAGACTGTCTATGAACAATTCCTAATTGAACAAAGGAATGATGCAACTTTTTGTATTCAGCTCCTAGGTCAGACTGAATGGATTTTATTGTTCTATTGAAGGAGCGTTCAACCATTATACGAAACTTATCAAAGATGACATAAAAATTTGATTTTAATTTCATGGGAAAATACCAAGTGTAGCGGGTATAATCATCCACAAAAATAACAAAGTAACTAGCCATCAATAGATAATAAAGGAGCTGGACCCCAAATATATGTATATATTAAAATCAAGAACACTAGTGCTGGATGACTCAACACGTGACAGTGGAAATCGAGCAAATTTACCAAATTGACATGCTGAACATAAACTGGAATTACAATGAATAGTACGACTAGAGCCACTAACCGAACAAGACTGAAGAATTTGAGTAAGGACACGGTGATGAGGATGACCTAAACGATCATGCCAAATCGAAGCGGTAGCACGAGCGGAGAGAAACAAGGAAGGAGACGAATTTGGAACAGGTAAGGTGTATAGCCCACCCGAACTACTTCCCTGTAGGAGGATTTCCTTAGTGGTGATATCTTTCACAAGAAAAAAAGAAAGATGAAACTCAAAGAACACATTATTATCTATAGCAAAATGTTGAATAGATAATAAAGAGGTAGACATACCAGGAACATGTAATATATCAGACATCGTAAAAGACCTAGAAGGGGTATCAAAAGTAGCAGGACCAACATGACTAATAGATAGGTCCATACCATTACCGACACGTAAAGTGTCATTACCAGTGTACTTGTCCGAGGTAGAAAGGGCAGCTATGTTTGGAGTTGCATGATTTGTGGCTCCAGTATCCGGAACCCAAGTATGAGAATTTGACGAGGTTTTAGTTCCCAAACCATCCTGAAACACCAAATTAGTCTGAGAACCCGGAGCCAATGAATAATGCCGAAAACAATTGGCTCCTGTGTGACCGAAACTATTACAAATTTGACACGGATCATCATAGCGCAAAAAACAATTGACTCCCGTGTGGCCAAAACCTTTTACAAATTTGACACGGATCATCATAGCGCAAAAAACAATTGACTTCCGTGTGACCAAAACCTTTACAAATTTGACACGGTTCATTAAAGCCACGTTTACTACGCTGCTGATCTCGGTGCGTACTGTCACTACTGGAAATTCTGAAATTTCCGACCACCTGAAAGTTATCTTAAATCAAGTCAAAAGCCTTGTTCCGACCACTTTTGGTATCCAGAAAAACCCTTGTTGCTATTTCTGATCACTTTTTACTTTCAACTTGATTTAAGATCACTTTCAGGTGGTCGAAAATTCAATAATTTTCAGTAGTGTGTCCCGACCCATCCTTGCGTCACTTGATGATCACAACTCGTTGTCCGATAGCATGCCAATCGAAATTTGCATATTGAACTGTCAATAAAAAGAAATCATATTGACATTGTTGGGATGCTGAATGTTAATATGATTTCTTCTCCCCCATTTTCGCGGACACGAACAGCAGTGAAACAGCGGGTCTGGGAATTTTGGAGAAGGCTGGCATCAGCAGCGAGGCGGTAATGGTAATAATTATTGTGAATATAACTGTGGTAGCAATTGTACAAATAGGGGAATATATACAAGAGGAATCATAATATAAGGAGGCTAGAATATGTAGTCATATAATGACTCAGATACAAATAATCCTAATACTAGTTCTAATACGTTTATTTTTAATGAAAAATATTGAAGTATATATTATTTGAGATTTGTCTTATTTGAGACGATTTCACATAAGTTTTTGAATTATTTATTAGTTGATTGAATAAGTAAATGAAACTATGTCAAAAACCTTATAATTAAGTGGTATAACGGTAATTCTTTAAAATAAAAGGTCATAAATTTCTACTACCGGGATTTATCTATTAATTTATTTTGTGATTCAATTCCAACTCAATTGGATTCTATCATAAATCTAATGGTATATAAGTAACGTATTTACCCATTTGATTAATTAATCGGCAAGAACTATTATGGAGGTGTTTGGTAAATGGTTGTTAGCTGTTAGCTACTAGCTGATTTGAGTTAGTGGATATAACTAGTTCATAACATTAGATGTTTGTAGAAAAGTATTTAATAAATTAGCTGTTAGTTATTAGCTGCTTACATACAAATGACTTTCTCAACAAGCTAATTGAAAAAGCTACTTTGAGTAGCTTTTTAAATTTTAACATTTTGGAGCAAAAAATTATTACAAAAAGCTAATTAATCAAACATTCATATTGATTGTTTAACCAAGTCAAACAGCTAATAATGATCAAATAAGCCAAAATTGACTGATAGGTTTATTAGTTTACCAAACATGGCCTATATCTTGTTTATTATTTAATTTTGTTTGAGTTAATAACTATTATATTTTTTAAAAAGATATATGCCTTGTTTGGTAACATAGTTGGTTTATCAGTTAATTTTGACTTATTTGACCACAATAAGTTGTTTGATTTGGTAAAATAATTAATATGATTGTTTGATTAATTAGTTTTTTGTAACAATTTATTGCTCCAAAATATTAAAATTTAAAAAGTTGTTCAACGCAATTTTTTGGATAAACTTTTTGAGAAAGTAATTTTGCATCTAATAAGCTATCAGCTAACAACTAATTATCACATATTTATTAGCTAATGCTATCAACTAGTCAAACTCACTAACCCAATCCGCTAACAACTATTTACCAAATACCCAATTACGTTTTTGGCCTTGTTTGGTCAATGGTTATTAGCTTATAACTGTTAGCTGATTGAGTTAGACAGTATGACTAGTTGATAACATTAGTTGATTATAAAAAAATGTTTGGTAAATTAGTTGTTAGCTGATAGATATATGATATAATTTCATTTTTCAAAAAACTAATTGAAAATGTTGTTTTTAAACAATTTTTTGAATTTTAGCATTTTGAAATTACAAAAAAACTGATTAACCAAACATTTATATTAATTTTTAAACTAAATCAAATAGTTAATAGTGATCAAATAAGTTAAAATTAACTAATAAGCTAATTATTTTACCGAACAACCTTTTATCAATCAATCTTAAAAGAAATCATAGAGTGTGCACTTCTGGCTAATAGAAAAGCGTTACTAGAAGTGACTTGGGCTGGCAAGAATTTTTGTATTATTTATTATAGTTTATTGAATACATCGTTTGAAATGCAGTTGTGGTTTCCATTACAGGGATTTATCTGAAAATTTGTTTAATGGTTCAATTCCAATTCAGCTGGGTTCCCTCGTAAACCTAACGCGTCTGTAAGTAAAATTTCTTTCAGTTCCTGTTTTGTTATTTTTCTTTCTTGTTTATTAGATTACTCTTATTTAGTTTTTGTTTGTTTTGAGTACTACTGACTTTGTTATTATTATTATTATTATTATTATTATTATTTTGTTTTTTTTCAGAGATTTGAGCGATAATTTATTGTCAGAAGCAATTCCAATTGAAGTAGGGAACCTTAAGAGCTTGATGATTTTGTAAGGCGACATGATACCTTGCATTTTATCCTTTTTTTTTCTGAAATCTGAATGGATTTTTGTTCTCCCATTTTGTAATTCAGGGACATTAGTGACAATCAACTCTCTGGTCCTCTGCCCAATCAGCTTGGAAAGCTCTCTCTTCTTAGAACTCTGTAAGTGTGTAAATAATACTAGTTTGCTTTAATTGATTAGATGGTTTTGAAACAAATGGATAACAATTGATGCATTTAGTTGATTTTTTTTAATACCAGTTAGTTTATCATTCATCAGTGTAACAAATGATTTCTGGTATCTACATATATAATATGGAAATTTGTTGGTGAATTTCCAACAAGGATTAAGAAGATGTATAGGTTGATCTGAGATACTTGTAAGTGAGTGTTGTGGTTACTTTTAATTTCTGACTAACACTTACAATTCAACCATGAAGAAGACATTGCAATATTTAGGAGTAAGATTAGATTATGTTATTTCAACTTAATCAGTCATTTGCTATGCTAATTTCTTCAGCAATGTTCGAGGGAACAACTTGACTGGACGAATTCCAGATTCCATTGGTCAACTAGGAAACCTCACTCGTTTGTAAGGCATCTATATATATACACACACACTGACATATCACCAAACACAATTGGTGAAACTTAATTGTGATTTTATAATATGATTCTCATTTCTTGATCGAGTAGGTCTCTACTAGGAAATAATTTTGAAGGTCCTCTGACTGATCAATTTTCAAAGTTGACAAATCTTGTGAGCTTGTAAGCCTTGTGATAAATTTAAGCATCTTTTCATCTTGTCTTGTTTTACATGCAAAAGAAATTTACTACAATGTTCAAGATTTTAGTGTAATCCCTCACTGTCATATCATCCATCATTCAGGCGTGTTAGCGACTTAGTTGGAGGAGAGTCGCAGTTTCCTAATTTAACAAATTTGAGTTCCTTGGAATATCTGTGAGATTTTTACCACACTCCTAGCTAGCTCATGCTGAATTACTTGTTTTTCCTTTGCTCCCTTTGAGGCTTCTGCCCTAATGCCTCTCATCATCTGTTTTCAGGACATTGAGGAAATGTTTACTTGGTGGCCCTATTCCTCCTATAATCTGGAACCTACCGAATTTGTATTCTCTGTAAGTTTTCCGTTAATATATATTTGCAAATTATTCTCCAGCATTGGAAAAATTCTCAGCTCTTTCTGAAGTCAAGCCACATATGAACAGTTTCGCATGTTTTGTGAATAAATACATATTTGATTTTCATTATATTTTTCCATTTCTTATTCAGGGACTTGAGTTTCAATAGTTTGTTTGGTCAGATTCCAAAATATGTTTCCAGCCCACCAGCATACTTGTAAGGGAGTTTACACTACATATCTTCTTCCCTACATAGAATTTTGGCATGCACGTGTTCATGAGTGCAAACGCATCATATCCATTGGTTTCAGTGTTTCACAAAAACATTGTACATGTTATTTTCATCTTTGCAATGTTTTTCAGATTTCTCCGAGGAAATAAGCTCAATGGGACAATTCCAAAATGGATAATGAATTTAACTTGGCATTTGTAAGTGCTCTGAACCAAAACAAAAACCTTAACTAGATATTAAATTATTCATTTTATTCTTAGGAAGTTGTTCTGCAATAAGGATTGTTAAGAGTTTTTAGGTGTTGGAATCTAGAATATCCACTTTTTCCCTATGATAAAATCAACATTAAAGAAGCTAATGTCTATTGATTTTAGCAACAATGATCTCATCAGGTAGGATTTGAACCATTTAAGCCTACTTTTCACTCTTGTTCTCATTCCATTCCATCTAATGATAATTAATACTGGTTTATTTTTATTGTTCACTTTGCAGTGATGTGTCTGAAAATTTTTTCACAAACAATGTCGCAGAAATTCAAAATTTGCATTCAAACTCCTCAAACTTGTGAGGACTTCTAATTGACTATGCTTTTCTTTATTATGCTTTTTCCCTATACTCCATTTTTCGATTTTTCATACTTTGAAAATCAACCATACTTTGGATCTTTCTGTTGCAGGAACCTTTTTTCATCCCTTAATTCCAGTGAAGGGTAAGCACTTCCTCTTCATTTGGTGGACACTTATTTCTCCGCTCAAAAGCAAAAATGTAAATGTGCTAGTTGGTTTGAAGTGCATGATCTTGTTTTGCTTTCATTTTGATATTTTAGGGGTACACATTGGGAACATGTTGGCTATACCTGTAGCGACAAAAAATACCTGTGTAAGTATATTGTGATAAAGCTTTTGTAACTTTTTCTTCACAATGGTCTAAAATAACATAATCTGGACAAAAGCATAGCATAGCAACCTGAATTTGTTTCTTCAAAACAAATTGTATGGACTCTTAACTAACAGAAACATTTATTTCAAATATAATGACACTTCAATTATTTCTCAATTGCAGTAGAAGACCATCTATTTATAAACTGTGGTGGTGAATCAATGAAAATAAATGGAAGTATTTATGAAGGCGATCTGAGTTTAAATGGAAGTTCAACTTTCTTTCTGAGTAGAAGTTTAACATGGGGTTATAGTAGTATGGGATCCTACACATCAACAAAGGACGAATACATAATGAACAATACATGCATTGTTGGTGTTGGTGATGTCCCTCTTTACAGTTCAGCACGTGTATCCCCAATCTCCTTGAAGTATTATGGATTTTGTTTAAGAAATGATGAATACACTGTGAAACTTCACTTTGCTGAATTAGTTAGCAACGGCAACTATAAAACCCCATATATCAACAAATCAGGTCGAGTTTTTGATGTGGATATCCAGGTATATATGGTACAACTACCAATAGAAGCATTACAATATATATTATATATATGCTGACAAACTGGAATCTTGAAAGCTGATTATGATTGCAGGGAAAGAATGAACTTAAAAATTTCCACATAGAAAAGGAAGCAGAGGGTGTAAATAAGGCTTACACTGTGGAAATAGAAAATGTTATAGTTAACAATAGTCGACTGGAGATTCACTTATATTGGTCAGGGAAGGGTTCAATGATGTACCAAGGTCCACTTATATCTGCAATTTCTGTATATCCTTGTAAGTCATATATACTTGTTTTACCTACTAGTGCACCATTTCGATTGTATCCTACTACTTTTCTTATCTGATATTTCTTGATGCCAATTCCTTCCTGATCCAGCTAAAGAGAGTGATCTGTCTCCTCCAAAGATGGCTGCAATCTCATTATCTGTCTTAATTCTTCTGATAGTGTTGATGGTTTATTTCTGGAAGATAGAAGACAATTCGCATGAAGGTAACTTCAACTTTTTAAACAGTTGGCTTGCCTACTGGTACTGTTGTTGTTGTTGTGGGGGAGGGGTGGGTGGGACTGATCTCTACCAGCCATTGCTCTGTGTTGATTATACTGTCCCATTTATTCCACCGATTTTTCGTCTAGGAATGGTTGAGTTGTATCCTGGAGGACTTTACAACTTCCATAAAGTAAAAGCTGCTGCCAACAATTTCAAGGACAAACTTGGTGAGGGTGGATTTGGAACTTTCTATGAGGTTAGTTTTGTTTCAAGTATAATGAAATTCTCTTTAATATAGATATGATGTACATCTAACAGTACAGTTCCTACAATAGACATTTAGCTCCTCCGATCACTTTTTGACATTACACAAGAGTCACTGTTAGTTACTTAACTTCAATTCAGGCCAAACTCGGCAATGGAACAGCCGTTGCAGTTGAAAAGGTTTCAGCCACAAAAGATATAATACGTGCATTTCGGGAAAAGGATTCTACAATTTCTCTCATGGAACATCCGAACCTTGTAAAGCTGATGGGATGCATTGCAGAGAAGAACCAACTGCTGCTGGTTTATGAGGATATAGGCCGTAATTCCCTTCAAAATGCACTTTTTGGTAGTGTATCTATCTATCTATCTCTGCCTCTTCATACTGAAGTTTTTTTTTTTTTTTTTCTTTTTTTTTCACTTTAGCTTGTCTAGCAGCAGTAAACAACAGTATTTTCCTTACAGGTTCGAACAAGTTGAAATTAGATTGGCCAACAAGGCGCAACATTTGCCTTGGCATAGCAGAAGGTCTAGCTTTTCTTCATGAGTGCAAGCAGAAAAATGTTCATGGAAATATTAAACCAACCACCATTTTTCTTGACAAAAATCTCAATGCAAAGATAGCTGACTTTGGATTTTCCAGGCTCCATGACCAGGGAAAGTCACTGGTGGATGGAACAGTGTAATGATACTGTCCCTCATTTTTCTGGACAATGATGCCTGAATGTTTCTAAAAAATTGTAAATAAATCCAATAGCCAATAGGTTTTCCTGGCACATCCTCACCTGAAATCATTCTGTAGGGTATACCTGGCACCTGAATACGCAAAATATGACCTTTTAACAACAAAGGCAGACGTGTATAGCTTTGGAGTTGTTGTACTTATAGTTGTTAGTGGAAAGAAAGAAAAGATTTCAATGTCTAGCAGCGGGGCTGACACCGAGTACCTTCCAGATCTCGTGAGGATCGGACTCAAACTTAATTAATTATATCATTGCATCGTTAGTCGTTGTGAGTAATGTTATCATATATATCATATATTGTGTGTATGCATTGCAGGCAGCCCGTGAAAAGCAGAGAGAAGGGCATTTTATGAATCTAGTTGACAAAACCATATCTAACAAAGTGGATTGGAATCAAGCTGATACAACGTTAGAACTAGCATTGATGTGCTTGGACCAGTACCCAGATCAAAGACCATCCATGTCTCAAGTTGTGAAGGTTCTAAAGGAACAGCTTCCATTGAAGGATCTAAAGGAAAGTTTAAAGCAGCTTTCTTCTGTCAGAGAAACTCAACCACATGGTGAGATTTCCACAACTCACCATTCAAAATCGAGGAGCACTTCAAGGGGTGGGATGACAGACACCAGCGTTTCTGCTTCTCCCAGCAGCACTGCTTGAATTGAAGAACAACACTGTAGTACAAATCTATGCTGCTTTTCAGTTGTTCTGATCTGCTGAAAATGAAATGAATGGTTTCCCAAAAGAATTAATTAAACCAGCTTTCCCAAACTCACAAGTGATGATGGTGAAAGCTGATTTAATTCCTTTGGGAAACCATTTATTTCAGCACAACAACTCAAAACCATTTATTTCAGCTTACACACCACCACTTGTGAGTTTCAGAATCTGCACTGCTTTCCTATTTTCAGTCTCTCCTCTCTTGCTAGTGTGCTTTGCTTTTGTGAAATAATAGTTGTGATATATGACATGCATGTACGTACAATGCTATTATTTTATATTTTCCACTTTGTAATTAAATTGTATGTGTGTTGTGTTTCAGCATGGCACCCCTAAAATTCAAGTTATTGGTGCTTTGAGAATTGAGAATTTTTATTTATTTATTTATTTTACCATTTCATACTAATTCACAAGGCCAAAGATTGAATAAAACATCATCGGACCGGTATATTTTTAAGTACCATGATATCATATAAATAACACTTCTATTCTAACAATAGTTAAGTAGTATTACAATTACACTGATGTTTGTAGCAGAAATATTGTAATTTATCTTCTTCTGTAGTTATGTTCATGTTATTATTATCATTTTTATGAAGTTTAAACACACACATACACATACCTTCGTTGTGATAGGATTATCACCACCTTGTTATGAAAGTCAAGCTAAGAAACTTTAGTTGCTGCTAATTATTAGTATGTATCAACATAGACAATTAAATAAATTTGAACATTAGTAGTAGAAAAGATAAACAATGATACATAAGATTTTAAAGCCTTAAGACCAATCGAGAATAGACAATCTTGAAGACGTTTGAACCATGCACGTACTAGTGCTTGCTTCAAACTATTTAGAGACTTTTGTAATTAACATGAGTAACGTAGGAAATTTGTTGTCAATATACATTGGTAGTTGTTTCATGTAAACATTCACTACAAGAAAAATCACGATTTGCAACGAAAGAATTCCGTAGGCTCCAGGCTTGTTGCATTTTATTTCGAAACGAAAACAATCCATCACTAGCGGTGGTGACGAAAAAGGCGATGGAATTTTCCATCGCAATATAGACAACATAAATCATTCCGTCGCGATTTAGGTGACAGAAATGTTTCCTTCTGTCACCATCACTTGAGAAAATATTCTGTCACAGAACTCATATTCCGTTGTCTATTTCCGCGTGAATATAACGACGGAAATAATTATCGTCGCAATTCCGTCGCTAAATTTTCCGTTGCAAATTTCGTCTTTCCTCACAAAATTCCGTCACCAATTTCATCGTCATAATGATATCGAATATTCTGTTTCTAACATCATATTTCATCGCGATTTTGCTAAACAGTTATTTTTTTTTAATATTTTGATAATTATTATTATTTTGTCAAAATTCAAATGTTAATATGTAATTATATTTATAAACAAAAGCACTATTAAAATTAAAATACAATATAATTTGTAATATAAAAGTAATGTTCAAAAAATTCATGTTCTACTAAATACCAAATTCATGTTTAAATAGTAGTATAATAATTCATTAAAAAATTCAAAATCAAATTTAATCGAGTTGCAATGAGAGTAATGATGAAGTATCAGCTCTCTCATGCATTTAATCTTTGTTGTCAACAACTATATAACTAAGTTCGAATATAGTATAAATAAAACGGTGGAACAGTACAGTTCTAAAACCTTGTTATTGCTTTGAATTCTTTCAAGAAGTCTAGCATCCTCCGTAGTAGTCCAACCATCTGTTGCACTCACAGTCATTATAATTACACGAGTTAGTTATATTACATGGACTCCCATTATATTCTTTACTCTATATATAACAAGAGATAATAGATTATCTTTGTTCTGAGTCCCAAGAAAAATGTTATCATTAAAATTTTGAGTAAAAGAATAAAAGTAGGAAGTAGAATTTTGGAGTCCATGGCAATCCTTGGATTATGTCGTGAACTCCTTTTCAACTTAGTTTTCACTATCTGATCAATCTCTAGTTAGGGTCAGCCACAAAGCCGCCTTGCTAAAATGATATTCAAACTCCTTTAATTTTAGCAAAGAAAAATGGATGAGGTAATTAGTTGAAGTTGGACTTTTAGAATCAAGATGCAGGATTCTTTTAGCTTAAAATACTTGATAAAGCTAGCTTTGAATGATCAATATAATCAACCAGCGATTAGTATGCCTGGTTTACTTGTGGACGTTAAATGCTTTCCACATGATTTAGAAGAAAATAAGAAAGGGAAAAGGGTTGAATAAGCCTTCAAATTTTAGCTGAAAAGTAAATTAGCCTCTCAATTTTTTCGAGGTGTAATTACACCTATCAACAATTCATTTTGATGCAATGAATACCAAAATTTGATTAATGACATACTATCACAGGTAACTAGGGTTCTGACTATCCTCCGACAAAATTTCAGGCAAAAAAAGTGACTTATAGGTCACGGAGGAGAAGGTGACCACTGTGGCGAGAAATAAAGAGCTACTAAATATCCACATGACTAAGAGGGGCAAATTATGGTTCACACAACTGTGTAGACCACAGTCGAAAACATCGTCGTGAATATTATGAGTAAAAATAATGTACATTATGTGTTAGAATACTGTACATTACGTGTTTAGAATAATGAAACATCTGGGATAATATAATAATGTACATTATGTTTTAAAATAGTGTATATTATACATTAGAATAATGTACATTATGAGTTATAAAAATGTATATTGTAACTAAACACGCGAGAAAAAATAATAAACAAAACGTCATTTTTAGACCGTAGCTGTATGGACTACGGTCCACGCAATAACTATTGCCCAAGAGGGTCAGAGGGACATGGACAAAAGAGTGAAAAGACATTAAGCCAACTGTTGTGGTAATACATATTGCATCTCGATCATTTTAGAAAAGCCAAATGCAGAGAATGTTTAAGCCTAATTTACTTTTAATAATTAAGGCCATGTCTCTGTTGTAGGCCAAACAAAGCACACTTACATTCTATTGATGCAATTATTGAGAAGCTAGCATGCAATTAGACTATGCAAAAAGTTGTGTGTGGAATACAGTCTGGAAAGTTATAAATTATAAGTTTCATTATAAGTATCCCCTGCCTAGGTATATGTGTTGAAGGTAACTTCACAAATTTTTTATACTTCAACTAAAAATATGTATTAGAGGACAGAAAAACTCAAGTAATACTACATATCAGTGTTGCAAAAATCGCGTCTAAAATTCCATAAACGAGGAGCTCTTCCACTACAACAGACAACGAGCATTTAAATTTGACATGATGACCCTCGACACGGGCAAGGAAGTGAATGAGACAGTTATAGACACCTGGACATGCATACAAAATGACAACGAATGGAAAAAACCAAGCATCCATCCCACGCGATTATTCGCATCAACAAAAATAACGGTATACGAATTAAAAAAAAAATCTTGAAATACACAAATAATTTTAATACTTCAGTGGATTTAATATGAATATGTACTCATGTGCAGATGGAAACAGTGGTGGGGTACACAGGGACACGAGCACAACGGCTCAAGCTATTTAAAAGGAAAATGAAAAGCGAGCTGCTATTCAGCCCATATAGTTCGTGGGCGGAGATTGACATGGTAAGTTAACATATGACATAAATGGGTAAGATGTGTTATATGTGTTTGTTCCTGGGTTTAAAAAATACTTGCTAAGCATTTTGAGGCAAATGTGCAATGCAGTTTCTATTCCCCATATTGAACAAATCTCACTACTATGTCATTGCCGTCGATCTGGGGGAGGGGGGGGGGGGGGGGAATGCAAATCATTGACAATTCATCAGCTGGAAAAAAAAGAGAGGAAGTATATGACAAAATCCCTGAAGATTTGGTAAGCACCTCAAACCATATGTTTGTAAAATTATTTGGGTACGTAATAATTCAAAGTATATACAAAGGAGATGAGCACGAATGTGATTTCAATATAATGCATGAGTGATGGAAAAAAGAGTAATGGAAGGTGGGCATAAAGATTAGTATATACTAAGAAACTGAGTGATACGGGAGTGCATCAACGTAATACTGTAATGAGCATCGCCTTATATAAAATACTGTGCATTCTGTATAGTATTTAACCTGAAATGTAGAGACTGGTCTGCATCATTACAAATAAATTAGAGTTGAACTACAGATTTAAATAATGAAAAACGGTGATAGGATAAGAGTTACTAACCGTGTAGATCTTATGAAATCAGAAAGACATGCTCGAGTGCTTCATAGACGATAACAAGGACCATAAAAGGGCGGCTGAAATACTGCACATGGAACCAAAGAGAATGCAAATGCCCTGGAGGGATGCCAAAGAAAATCCAGACAGTGGAGTATATGCAATGAGGCACATGGAGTGCTTCATTGGTGAGCAAGCGAGGAGTTGGGAATGTGGGATGAGCAAGGGAGACAAGACCACAATAGAAACATTACGAACGAAGTACATGAAGGATATCCTACTGAGCGAATGTAATGAGCAACACAGCAAAAACTTTCAAAACTCACCACTTTTCTATCAGGGGGTGTTCACGCAATTGGGGTAAGTGGTTTGATGTGAGATTGGACATTAGTTTTGATGACTTTAAGAGACAAGAACAAGGTAAATGAACAATGGTGTACTAGACAATTAAAATTTGCGACAAAGAAATGTTTTTTGTTAAGCTTTTGCGAAATGCATGATCATGGTTTAGAAGTAGAGAAACAGTGAAGTAGTCCAACATGCAAACAGGGATAAATTCCCAGTGTGGACATGAGCACACAGGCTGATTTATATTTATTCCATTTCATGTGCATGAATGTATCTTTGCTTAAAAAGTTGTAGCATTAAGGATACTATTAGTGGCAACAGAAAGAAAAGAACCATGTAAATACCAAATGTTTGAGACTTAAAACAAATCCAAATGTGCAAGTGTTTACGCTGTGTTAATGAGGAATACATATTCTTTTTTTCCAAATTCGTGCTGCAGTGGTGTACAACATTGTGCAAATACGATATAACTGACAGAACCGGTATGTGCATCGACGGTGTATGTATTCATGCAATGTTAAGTGTAATTAGAAATAACCCGTAATCGGCTAAATAGTTTTTGACCCGTTATGCTGATGTGCACCTACGTAGAAATAGTTAATGCATCACGATAGGGATTCGTTGGTGCGAAGTTAATAAAACAACGTAAATATTAAGTTTTATTAAACTGCATGTTTGCATGAAATCCGAGATTTAAATTGATGTGCAAAATCAAAGGAAGCGTATGTGCAAGTCAGCACACAATTTCAGAAACAATGTGCAACATACGACCCTAAACTGTGCAATTTGGGAATGTAAAAAAAAAACGGGAAATAAAATAAAAAAATACCAAAGC